TCAACTATCCTCATATTGACTGTGTACATGTCATCTCAAGATGGGATGCAGAGATAAAATTTCTTGCTACCTTAAATGACAGCTTCTTAGAACAGCTGGTTCTGGAAACCACAAGGAGAGAGGCAATTCTTGATTTAGTCCTAAGTGGAGCACAGGATCTGGTCAAAGACGTAAATACAACTGGACCGCTCGGAGATAGTGACCATAATGTAAAAATTAAAAGGTACAGCGACAAAAGTAAAATCCCTGCAAGCTGCACAGAAAATTTTCAAAGACTCCATAATAGAGGCTCAACTTAAATATATACCCCAAATTAAAAAAACACAGTAAGAGAACCAAAAAAGTGCCACTGTGACTTAACAACCAAGTAAAAGAAGCAGTGAGAGATTGTGACAGATAGAAGTTCTGGCCAGCATCCAGTAACTAAAGGGTTAAACTCAATTAGCTAGCAAGGTGTTGGCAGGGGGCCAGAAGAACCAATGGGGATACAGTGCTGAAATTTGAATTGTATTTAGATACCTTGCCTGCTCTCTTTGAAAGAAAATTCTAAGTTAAGGGCTGGAGGGAGCAGATGCAATACTCAGAATTGCCATGCCTATAAGAAATATTGGACATGGGAGTGAACTGAAGTACAGATCAGCACGGATCATGAATAGAGGGGAAAAAGTATATTGAGTTGTGGTCAGGGTATTTTTTCTTTGTTTTGGACATCTATCTTACTAGAATTCTTTGAGGGGGTCAACAAACAGGTGGACAAGAGGGATCCAGTGGATATAGTATACTTATATTTCCAGACAGCCTTTGATAAGGTCCCTCGTCAAAGGCTCTTAAGTAAAGTTAGTTGTTATGGGATAAGAGAGAAGTTCCTCTCATGGATTGGTAACAGGTTAAAAGACAGGAAACACAGGATAGGAATAAATGGTAAGCTTTCAGAATGGAGAGAGGTAATTAGTGGTGTCCCCCAAGGACCTGTCCTGAGACCAATCCTATTCAATTATTTATAAATGATTTGGAGAAAGGGGTAAACAGTGAGATGGCAAAATTTGCAGATGACACTAAACTGCTCAAGATAGTTAAGACCAAAGCAGACTGTGAAGAGCTTCAAAAAGTGGGCAACAAAGTGGCTAATGAAATTTAATGCTGAGAAATGTAAAGTAATGCACGCTTGAATAAAATAATCACAACTATACATACAATATGATGGGGACTAATTTAGCTACAACTAATCAAGAGAGATCTTGGAGTCATTGTGGATAATTCTCTAAAAACATCCACTCAATGTTCAGAGGCAGTCAAAAAAGCAAACAGAATGTTAGGAATCATTTAAAAAGGGATAGAGAACAAGACAGAGAACATCTTATTGCCTCTATATAAAACCATGGTACATCCACATCCTGAATACTGCGTACAGATATGGCTGCCTCATCTCAGAAAAGAGATATTGGCACTGGAAAGGTTTCAGAAAAGTGCAACAAAAATGATTAGGGCGTTGGAACAGGTCCTATATGAAGAGATATTAAAAAGACTGAGACTTTTCACCTTAGAAAAGAGGAGTCTAAGGGGGGATATGACAGAGGTCTGTAGAATCATGAATGGTGTGGAAGTGAATAAGGAAGTTATTTACTTGTTCCCACAACATAAGAACTAAAGATCACCAAATGAAATTAATAGGTAGCAGGTTTAAAACAAAAAAAAGGAAGTTTTTTCTTCACACAGAACACGGTTGGCCTGTGGAACTCCTTGCCAGAGGAGGTTGTTAGGACCAGAACTTTAACAGGGTTCAAGAAAGAACTAGATAAATTCATGGAGGTTAGGTCTATCAACGGCTATTAGCCAGGATGGATAGGAATGGTGTGCTTAGCCTCTGTCAGAATGGGTGACAGGAGAGGGATTGCTTGAAGACCTACTGCTTGGGATCCCTATTCTGTTCCCTCCCTCTGGGGCATCTGGCATTGGCCACTGTCAGCAGACAGGATACTGGGCTAGGTGGACCTTTGGTCTGACCCAGTATGGCCGTTCTTATGTTACGTTCAGTGGGGTGGGAGCAACCTCTGCTGCTGCCTTGTGCCAGCCCCCAGTTATTCCCTTGCTTGCATTGTAGGGGGAGGAGGCTTCAGGTAAGAGGGTAGGTCTTGAGGAAGGGAGTGGAGAATGGACAGGGCAGGGTGGAGCCTGTTGGGAGGCATTTGCCCCAGGCTCCATACCCCTATAGGGACAGCCCTGGGCATGACCTCAGGTTTCCCATGCGCTGGGCTCCAATATCTTTTACCACCACCAAGCTTCACACTTTTAAACTGTATATCATTTTATATCATTTCAACGACCCTGGTTTCTGGAGTGAGGTTCTCACTGATAAATATGATAGGGGTTCTTCCATAGCCACTGTAGGAAAACCAGCATGTTACCAGATCAGATAAGATACCTCACATGACACCTTTTAGATACACATTTTGCTATGTCTAGACTACATGGCTCTGTTGACGGAGCTATATAAAATAGTTTATTCAGCATAGGCAAAGAAGCGGGGATTTAAATAATCCCCGCTTAATTAAAATTAAAATGGCCGCTACGCTGTGCTGACGATCAGCTGATCCGGCACAGCGCGGCAGTCTAGATGCGCCACGGTCGACAAGGGAAGCCTTTATCAACCACTCTGGTATGCCTCGTGCCTTATTTAAATCCCCGCTTCTTTGCCTATTCCGTCAACAGAGCCATGTAGTCTAGACATAGCCTATGATGCCAACAGTGAGCTGGTGTATGCTCACAGGTCAGGCCATCTGAGACTCACTGCTGCATACCAGGAAACCCTTGTCTGCTGGCACTGGGATCCTCTTAGGGTCACGAGAAGATTCTCGGCTGATATAAATCATCATAGAACCACTGAAGTCAATGGATATTTACACCACAAGCTGTAGAGCTGGCTACTTATATACAATGAGGATATAACTCAATACAGTAGATTGGTTAATATACATACAGATTCTAGTTCAAAAAGTTTTAAGTAAAATTTATTCACAAAAAGATCATTTCCAATCTGAACATGCCGGAGGTAGTGTCCTTTAGCTGGAACCAAAAATACCATGTTAGAGTCAAACAAATAGGAATAGCCTCACAATATGTGGCTACCAAATCAATAGTGACTACTAAATGTACAGAGTACAGAAGGTTAACCTAGATCAGGGGTGGGCAAAAGGGCCTCCGCAGGCTGCATCCAGCCTGCCAAGTGGGTGGATCTGGCTCATGGAGGCCCTACTGATCCCCTGCCCCCAAGCTAATTAGGGTCTGGGGGCGGGGGAGCCCGTGAAGCCTTCTCTGCTCTGCCCCCACCCTCAGGTCTTAATTGGCTGGGGGTGGGGGAGCATGCGAAGGCTTCTCCCACCCTGCGAGGAGCATATAGAGCACCACACGCTTCTTGCAGGGCAGGGGGAGAATGGAGGAGGCCTCACGTGCTCCCCCGCCCCCAAGCCAATCAGAGCCTGGGGGCGGGGGAGCTGCGTGAAGTGCCATGTGTTCCGCGCAGGGCAGGAGGAGGCTTCCTGCGCTCCCCCGCTCCCAGGCCCTGATTGACCTTGGGGCGGGGGAGCGTGCCAAGCCTCTTCCAGGGTATGGGTGCCTAGGAGGAAGGGGAACAAAGGGGCTCCCCCACTCCCAGATCAATCATGGTCTGGGGGTGAGCTAGCCCGCCCTTTCCTGTTTAGGCCCCGCCCCTTCAAGGGTGGCCCAGGGCTACTTCAAACATTTTTGAAGTGGCCCCCAGGCAAAAATTATTGCCCACCCCGACCTAGATGGATATTCGATTGTACTGTATATTAGCTTTGTCACTTCTGATGTACCTGCTTATGCCCAGAAAACTTTACTCAATGAAAAAATCTTAAGAAGAAAAGTCACATGGTTTACACACTATGGACAAAACCAATTGGACAGGAAATACAAAACCCATATTTTGATGCCTGGAACTATGTTCTTTTCATAGGGAGAATATATTAAATGTATATAGTTCTATTTTTATATCTTTAACTCAATTTTGTATACACAAATTAGCCATGTGATAATTTCATTGTAAAAAGGTATCATTGTTGAATCTCTTTAGACGAGATAATCTCATCAACACACTCACATGATTTAAACTTTAAAAACCTGGATTTAATATTCAATCAACAACCCACAAGTTTGTAAAGATAATTGTGAACATTCAATAATTTCTTTTTCATATAGTGTAATGTCTTTAACAAACTTCTCAAGCTAAATCCTTTTGCAAGACCAATAAGAACCAACCTGTTATGTAGATCCAGTCCCCAGACCCCTGCACAGGAGGAATGAAAGTTCACTGACTGATTTCCCTGCTTTTAGGCCATGTCTGAACTACAGATAAGCTCGAAGCTGCCACAGTTGATCAGGTCTAGTGAAGACACGCTAATTTGAACTGAGAGGGCACTCTTGTTGATGCCAGCAATCCTGCTGCTACAGGGAGTAAGCTATATCATTGGGAGAGTGTGCTCCCTTCGACCTTCTGCAGTGTGGACAGCACCAAAGTTCGACTTAGGATACTTTGACTTAAGCTATGCAAATTACATAGCTGAAGTTACTTATCTTAATTCAAATGTATCCCTTAATGTAGACCAGGGGTCAGACTGGGATAGTGTCCATAAAGGGACAATATTGTAGCTCCATAGCTTAACTATGATTGAAGGGTAAATGTATTTATCCTATCTGCATTTTAGTATCTTGCATAAACATGAATTCCTTGGTCTCTATTCAGGGAGAGATTAATTTTACCCTAATGTAAGATTTTAAATTTATAAAATTAAGCTTTATCTATTGATGGAGATGGATTGTATTTACTGGTGAAGAGCCTAGCAAAATGATTCCCAACAAATCAGCAAGTAGCAATTCGTTTTGGGTCATCACCTGATTTGTGCTGGGTCACAAATAAGATTTTTTAAAAAAAAAAAATGTGTAGTAACAAACACTTCATAAAAATAAGTATTTTATTTAGTTATTTTGCAGATCTTCAGCTGGTGCAAATCTGCATAGTTCAAATCTCAATGGTACAGAGTAACTAACTTCTATGACACTATGCTAATTCACACTGACAACAGATATGATCGACTGTATCTAGATTCAAATTATAGGAAGAAAACAACAGTATGGACCTAAAACTTCTTAGCGAGAATTCATATCGATGAGGGGAAGCAGGGAAACACAACAGAGAGAAAGAAAATTAAAAGACATTTCACATATTATTGATTATTTCTTGTATTCAAATAGTACCTAGAAGCTTCAGATCAGATTGCATCCCCATTGCGCAAGGCCCTTTACATATGTATAGTAAGAGACAGTGTCTGCCCAGAAAGTCTAAACAGAGAGACAGACACAAGTGAAGGAGGGAGAAAATAATAATTATTATTATTCCCATTTTACAGGTGGAACACTGAGTGAGAGAGAGAATAAGGTCATATCTACACTGAAATCAGACATTATTTGCCTACGGTCACATGGGAAGAATGTAACTAAGGAAGAAACTGAACCTGGATCAGAGTCCCAGTGTACTGCCTCAACCATAAGGCCAAGCTTCCTCTCAGTCTGAAATTACTGTGGTGAAGAAAGGAAAGCTGCTCCTCCCCTCCTCCAGACCAACCATTCTTCATAGTCACATATATCTTGTAACATAAAAAGTATATAATCTTGAAAACTGACCTGCAGGTAAAACTGAATGGTATTTAAACAAATGGAGTGGAAATAAGGATCTTGGAAACACTGAAATATGACCCAAAGGAAGAGAAATCAGCCACTGAAAACTGAAATGGCTCACACCGAGAATATGAACACATATATATCCAATAAGTATTCACATACATGGGAAAAGAGATTGAACCCAGGTCCAGGAGTTGAGGCCTTTGTGGGATTTTTGTAAGAGCATAACACCACTAGAGTAGCAAAGACTTTTTGGAAGAAAACACGGTGAAGATAACTAGGCCAATGTCATAATTACAAAGGATAAAAATCAGGTTTGCTTAAAAAATAAGAAAGTTCTTACTCAGTTCATTACTATTTCTGGAATGTTGAATGTTACATTTATTATTTCATTATACTTCAGTAATATAACTACAACAGTATACACACCATGGCTATTCTGTTGAAATTCATTGTATTGGAGCAGTTCCAGTACATTATGACATATCAATGAATCATGCAATGGTTATGTCATGATATGTGATCACAGGACTGAACAGATTGTGAGCCATTAATATACCAGGTTTATAATCAAAATATTAATTAGGAATTAATTAAGGCTACATTACAATCCTCTCCCTACTTCTAAAACCCCCAACCCTTAAATTTTCTCCCAACCCATGCTTTGCCCCAGGCAGACATTTATTTCCAGACACCATGAAACTTATCTTCCACTCCTTGAACTTGCGCCCAACAAAGCAAACCAATATAAAGAAGTCTAGTTACCAGAAATAAAATACAGCTCTATCAATACTGTGTCAGGGCCATGATAACTACGTACTAAGGATTCTGTCTTAATTTTGGATTATCACTGATATAACGTTTGTAGCCATGCACAGATTCTTCCTTTACATATATAAATATAAACATTAAGCAAAGTTGAATGCAGCAAGAGCAAAGGTTATACCTTGCCAACTCTTGTAGTTAAGGGTAAATCACCAATGGTTCTTTTGCAACTAATGTTTAATAAGAAAGCTTCAACTGCTGTATTTGTACATCATTACATGCTGTGAACAATATTTTAAAGCAGTCTTAACAAAATCTTAAACAATGGATTTTTTCTCTCTCTCTGCAAATAGTGAATAATCTATAGGTTCATCACTCTGGGGAGAGTCTGCCATCTTCACCTTGAGGTGATCATTAGTGGTCCTGGTGACACTGTCATAGGATGGAGGGAAAGATGCTGTGGATGCAGATTCTGATTTGTCTAAATTTCTATCAGCATTTTCATTCACCATGAATTCAGCAAGGCCTTCTTTCTCTGGAGCATCTTCAAGGATGTCACCATCACAGGTTCTATTACGGCATACAAAAGAGGTCTGCCTCATGGGATGTTGATTCAAATGTCTCCTGTAAACCCTCTGGATAATAATGGCAGAAACTTCCTCTTGCTTCTGTCTAATTGTAGTTGTGATTGGTTCATAAGAAAGCTTGGATGGATTGGCAGCCATAAACTTTTCCTCCATCTGAACTTTTAGAGTATCCATGTCTCCAGATTCTCCTAGCACCCGTTTGGTAAAAGCAAATAAAATATCCAAACAGTGGATCCTGTCTCCACTGACCATGGGAAGATCCATTGCTGTGAGCTCAATTTTATTTGGTTTGGGTACACGTAAAGGTTCTGCCAGAGCATCTGCAAAGTCTGAAAGTGCAGAATACTTCATAAACTGAGTTGCCTCTGGATCAAATTTCTCCCAGACTTCATAAAACATATCAAAGTCATCTTCACTTAGAGGATCTGTACTCTCCTCAGTGGCAACATTGAAGTTCTCTAAAATTACAGCTATATACATGTTTACAACAATAAGAAAAGATATAATGATGTAACTTACAAAGAATATAATACCCACAGCAGGCTTGCCACATTCTCCCACAGCAGGCTTGCCACATTCTCCCACAGCACTTGGTATGGCTGGATCACAATATGGCGGTCCAGTGTTTAAAATAGGGCTGAGAAGACCATCCCAGCCAGCAGAAGTTGTGATTTGGAAAAGACAGAGCATGCTGTTAGCAAAGGTTTGGAAATTGAACATGTCATCAATCCCATTCTCCCACTTAACATAAGCAAAGTTAGCCATGCCAAAAATGGCATAAATAAACATGACCAGAAAAAGTAAGAGGCCAATGTTGAACAAAGCAGGAAGGGACATCATTAAGGCAAAAAGAAGAGTTCTAATTCCTTTGGCAGCTCGGATTAGTCTCAGTATTCGTCCAATTCGAGCCAAACGAATGACTCTGAAGAGTGTAGGTGAGAAATAATTTTCAAATGCTTTTACAATGCCAGAGAGCACAGTACCTAAAAACAGAAATTAATAATTAATTAGAATTTCTAATTGTTGCTAATTATTATCTTAAAGAAATAATAGTATAAATAAAAATGTACTAGAATGGATAGATTTTGATTCTTCAAGGAAAAGGTACACATTTTTTAAAAGTTAAATGGCTTAGTTGTAAAAAATTTTGAAATTAAAACAATAACAAGACAACAGAATGTATTTTTCAAACACCAGTGTGTACGTTGTGTCCCTAAAATCTGTATATTACCTTAGTGCACATGTAAAACATAGAAGTAGGTGTTTTATTTGCAACATTTTGCACAACCACTAGGTACATGTGCATTCTATAGGCACAGTTTATGTAAATGTATTTTCCCATCTGGCCCTAAAAGTTGGAAAAAACCAAAGCTCATATTAAAAAAACAAAACATGACACCAGAGTCATAGGCATTCGATATTTAGATACTGTGGTGATGAGGGATATATAAACCAGAGAAAAAGACAGGTTAAATAACAGTGTAATCCTTCTATATACCAAGGCTTTTCGGCCCCTTTCTAGTGGCTTGACCACACAAAAGTTTATTAGTCTGGTACTGCCTCTAAAAAATGGACAAAGTCCATTCTTTTAGATCTTTAAGTCTCAGGTTCAATCACTGAAGATGACCAGTCCAGAAGTGTTGTTACAGAAGGACAACCAAATTTATTGATGGCCTCCAAAACTGTTCTATTGTAGCCCCAAGAAGTCTTGCACAAAAACAGAAAAAAGGTAATATTCCAGATATCAACTGGCCAAGGCTTGATGTAAATGGTTACTCTCTTCCCCCTGCCCTCCTCCTCTTTCTCTTGCTCTCCCTTAAGGTCTATTCATTTTTTCTGTTTCCTAGGAATTCCTTGTAGCAATGGGCACCATAGAGAAATATTTGTCTTTTAAGGGAGATTTTTTCTTAAATCTCCTAATCTTTATGGGGATCCACTTCTTTTCTTCCTGTTTTTCACCTCTGTCACCAAAGAGGAGTCAGAAAGAGGTTTGGATACATTTTTTTCAATACTCGTAAGGATCGGGCCCTCCACGGAACTGAAACTTTCCACCAGGTGATTTTTGCCCAAGGGCTCACCATTCATGACCATCTGCCTTCCCGCGGACAGCTGCGCTGCTGTTTACACTCCAGCCCTCTCCCTACTCCCAGTCCTGTGGTGGGCTCAATACTTACTTTTCTTTTCCTTTCCTTTTCTCCCCCACAGCTCTGTGCCTAGCCAAGGATGGAGTGCCAGGGCAGGAACTGCCTTTAGTCATGAGAGCCCCCTTGCCATATTCTCTGTGGATGGGCAGGAGACGGAGGGGGCAGGAGTTGAGGAAGCAGCACGAGCCAAGGGACATGCTGGCCACAGCTTCCTGATGCATCCCTTGACCCAGAACGGTGAAAGGCAGGCTCCAAGCCTACAGATGCTCCATGTGGATAAAAAGTCCTTAGTGCGCCAGCTATTTGTCCTTCGGGGCTGGGAAGTGACCCTGGGAAGTGCTGTGGACTCTGCTGTACTCTGCTGAGACATTTTTTGCTTGCAGAGTCTGAGTTTGTTTGCTTGCAAGCACAGAGACTCTCAGGTCCCATTCGCTGTGAACAGCGAACAGCAGCCCATGGGAGCTGAGAAACTCTGTGCCCTGAAGCCTGCATATCCCTCAGCCCACATTAAAACTGACATGCTGTGACTGTACACTGGAGTCGGCTTATAAACTGGTCAGTCACTTTTTACCATTTTTTCTCTTTTTTGAAACTATCGTGTTACGCAAATGTCACCCTGCTCTAACCATTCAAAAGCTACTAGAGTGGCAGGAAGGGTTTAGTTGGGCTGCTGCTAGGAAAAATGGATCAGTGAAGTCAATAAAATGTTATTCAATACAGATATATGACACCTCAAAGTTGTTACATTTCAATGTGGACACCCTGTAAAAGATACCATGAACTATTATACATTTCAAATGATTATCAAGTAATGGAGTGTTTGAAAATAGGTATATTGTTTGGGGGGAGGGGGAGTCCATAAAATTTTAATAGATTGATATATGCTTGAAAAGGTTGGGAACCACTACTCTAGTATTATTCCATTGACTTCAGTTGAGCAACTGCTGAGTTCTACCAGTGTGAGAGGTGAATCAAGATACAGTCTAAATTAGATTGTAAAATAAAATGGTACATTTATGACAATATATTATAGGCATGAAGACAAAAATCAATGTGTTTGAGGGTGAGGTAAGAATTTCTCAATATAGAATGATTATTCTAACAAGAGAAATTATCAAAGGTAATGTGCTTATTCACAAGAATGATTGGAAAATTGTAAAACATTTAGCAATATCTGGACTCCCATAACTACAGTTATACAGGATTGATTAATTAAAGTAGCTATATTTCAATTTAAATATTTGCAACAGATTCTCCTTTACAGTATGAATATCTATTACATATTGGAAAGAGTTTGTGTGTGTCTGTTCATCCATGAGTCTGTTTGTTCAGGAACTTCTCCTAAACGGCAAGAGCAAGGACCACCAAATTTGGTATGCTGCTTCCTTTCATATCTTTAAAGCAAGGTCAGGGTTTCGTTGTGCCAGGACAATAGGATGTGCCTGGAATCTGATTGTTTCTCATCATATGTAAAGGGAGGGCTCTTATAGCAGGGATAGTTATATTCCAGAATTATCACAAGGGAACAGCAAGCATGAGGGAAAGTTATACTCTAGAATGATCACAGGGGGCAGCAAGCTCTCCATCCGGAGGGAGCAGCTGTCGGACAGGCAGCACAGATCCTGCCACCAGTGGCTGGGCCTAGGGAGCAGCCGCTGGCCAGACAGCGCAGCCGCTGCGGACCTGGACCAGCCCAAGGGAGCAGGTGCCAGGCAGCATGCCTCACAGCCACCCCGGGGGACAACCACCGGCCACTCCCACCCTTGTTGGGTCTAGTGTTGTATATGCCTCAAAATTGGCAAAATATTTCTCCATAAACCAAAATTATTAAAAGTTATATCATATGATAAAAGATTATACCATCACTAAGGTCTGAAAAAATAATCTGCAGTTTTGTAAAAATTAAAATATTTCACATCTCTACAATAAACCCTAATTAACATGGAAAATTATAATTTTTCCACCTGAATTCTCTTTTCAGAGTTATGAGACCAAGTATAATATTTATTATAACATTATTCATTACATTTACAACTTTTAAAACAGTAAAACAAAAAAGCTATCAGAGATTGTATCCTTCCACTATAAAAAGTAGTTCCTTTTAAAAGTTAAGAGAAAATAGGAAAAGTTTATAAATTCACCTTCTGTGCTATTTTAAATATATTTGTTGATATTTATTCCTCTGACCTTTATTTCCTTTTCCCTCTCTTTTTTTTAAATCTGTTTTGAGTATTTTCCCCAACACTTTGTTTCTAGCATCCTGGGTCACATTTCAGCAACAATTTGTGGCCAAGAAGCAAATTGTAACTTTTATGAAAACAAAATTTGGGATAGTGAAGAAATTGTGTATTTTTACCTACCAACAATGGACATGATGACAACACTTAAATCAAATATGTTCCAGCCATTGGTGAAGTAGTAGTGTCTTAGGGCCAACAATTTCATGATGCACTCTGCAGTAAAGATGGCAACAAAGAGGATGTTGATTTTGTTAAGAATGTTAGTCTTCTTTATACTTTGATCATCAGTTTCTACCATCATAGTGATCATGTTAAGGCAGATGAGAATCATGATGATAACATCAAAGGCTTGGCTTGTAACGATGTCAAAAATGAAACCTTGGTATTTGTTCTGTGGGATAAATAAAAAGTTTTTAGTATTGATTACAAGAATGTAGGCAAACTTACAATAATAGAAATGCAGGGCTAGAAGGGACCTCAAGAAGTCATCCAGTCCATCCTCTTGAACTGAGGCAGGACCAAGTATACCTAGATAATACCTGATAGCTATTGACTAACCTGTTACTAAAAATCTTCAATTATGGGGATTCCATAATCTCGCTTTGCAACCCACTACGAAACTTAACTAGCCTGATAGGAAGGTTTTTTTCTAATAGCTCATTAGATTAAATTGATTTTTCTTGTTTGGCCTTCTGTGGACATTGAGAAAATTGGATCACAGTCCTGCTAAGAGACCCCTTAACATATTTGAAAACTGTTATTAGGTCCCACTTCACTCTTCTTTTCTCAAGACAAAACATGCCCATTTTTTAATCTTTCCCCATAGGTATATTTTCAAAACATTTAATCATTATTGTTGCTCTACTCCGGACTGCAGTTTGTCCACGTCTTTCTTAAAATATATGTACACAAAACTCCTGCTAAAGCCTCTTGAATACTAAGCAAAACAGAATTAGAACCTGAATATTATGCTTTTTTACAAATAGCATCATACAATTGGTTCATATTCTATTTGTGATCCACTGTGATCCCCAGACTCTTTTCTGCAGCTCTATTGCCTAGCCAGTTATTCCTCGCTTTGTATTTGTGTATTTCCTTTTTTTCCCTAAGTGTAGTAGTTTGAACTTTTACTTATTGAATTTTATTTTGTTGCTTTTAGACCAATTGTCCAATGTTAAGGTCATATCAAATTTTATTCCTGTTCTCCAAAGTACTTGTAATCACAACCAGATTGATGTTATCTGTAATTTTTATTAGTGCTCTCCCCTCCATGATCTGAGTCAATAATGAAAATGTTGAGTAATACGAGACACAAGACAGATCTTTTTGAGATCCCATTAGATATGTCTAATCACTCTGACAGCGAACCATTAATAAGTACTCTCAGGGTATGGTTTTTCAACCAGTTTTGTACCTATTTTATAGTAATTCCATCATGACCAAATTTCCCAATTTTGCTTATTTGAATGTCATGTGGAACTGTGTTAAAGCTTTGTTAAAATGAAGTTGTCACATCTACTATTTCTCCCTGTTCCCCAATCATCTGCAGTAACCATGCAAAATAAATGTAAATATTCCCTAGCAGATAGCTCCAATCCTTATATGTTAATATGTTATTTAATTTCATAATAAGTAGGTTATATATTTATATCAGAGTATATAAATCCCAAAGAATAATCAGTTTCAAGATAAATATACAAAGCTATTTACTGAAATCCATAAACATTTAATCTGTATAATCTTTATAATCAATGACAATTTTTGGTGCAGAGGTAAGATTATGAACACTGTAAACTAATGGAAAGAAATAGGTATATTGTACATGCATTAATCTCCTTTCTCCCACATACAAACACAGTGGATTAAGTTAATTTTATTATAGATTTTCTTTTATTAGAGATATTTTTATTGAAAGAATTTGGATCTTACCAATGGCCTTGGGATGGGTTTTTGGGGTTTCTTGGATCCCAGTTTTTTCATTGCATTATAGTATTTTCTCTGTTCTTCTGTCATAAATATGTCTTGTCCACCTAAGTATATGGAGACAATGATACTGTTATTGTTGATGAAAAGAAACATTGCTGCCATGCAAGAGTTTAAATCTGTAGTGTTCAACATGCTAGCCGTTAGCCACATGTGGCTATTTGGCTGTTTGAGTGTGGCTAGTTGGCTTGAACAATGTGGCTATTTGGCCAGTGAGTGTGGCTAGTACCGCTTCAGAACTTGTTGGACACCAAAGGTCTAAATTATTGGAATTCAATATTTCTTTCTTTTTCTATTCTTTCAACTCTTGCTTACCCTTCTTCCACCTTATTAGGCCTAAAACAGCGCAGGAAATTAACAAAGATCTTTCAGAACAGCAGTTCAGTGGTGAACCAGGAAAATGATTAGGTTACTAAGAGCCCAGGCACCTGAGAGAAGGAGCAATTTTCTCCCTGCCTCTCCAGCCCATCTTGCTGTTTCCTCCTTGGAAGGCCCACTGCCCACACAAGGTCTGCCTAATCAAGGGCTGTTCTCAGACCTTGTGCCACAGTGCTCAGCTCAAGGGCAGGAGAAGCAGCATCATGGAACTATGTAGCAGGCTTCAGGGATTCTTATGAATCAAAGCAGCCCCAGGAGATGAGAATTACCGGGCTGAGATATAAGGTAATGGAATGGAGAAAGGGAAGCACTTCACTTGTAATGCGCCTCTATTAAATTCAATACTGATGCTGCTCCATGTAATACATGCGTATAGATGTTTCAGAGCTTCAGTGTACAGCTAGCATCCTCTAGTTTGAAGACAACACATAAGGAATATATTAAGGGCCTGGGTACATATCCAATATACTTATCTTTTTCTTTTGTTGGTTAAAATTGTCTATAATGACACCGACAAAAAGATTCAGTGTGAAGAACGATCCAAAAATGATGAAAATCACAAAATAGAGATACATGTATAAATTACGTTCCATCTTTGGCTGATCTTCTTTCTGTGAAAATGAAAAGCAAGATGAAAATTAACTAAGAACAGTATGGCTGTCATTCTGGAATGAGCTCTGTAAAAGTGTAGGGATTCTTCCATGCAGAGATACTTGCAGGATATCAAACTTGTTTCACCACTAGAAATGCAGAAAAAATGGTCTGTAATGCAGAAAAATTAGGGATTAACTACCCAGAGAGTTAGTGTGCAGCAAACCCAGGTGGGAATTTACAGTACACCAGCTGGGCACGATTAAGTCACACTCTGGGACTTACATCATATGTTCACTGCTATAGCACAGTGATGTATGTTTAGTAAGCTGCTGCACTCTGGTTTCACACCCTGGCTAGCTGTGCACTAACTCACTGTACACAAGCCATAGATCTTGCATTTTGTCGGGAGAGTGTAGAAAGAAAGGGAACTAGAGACAAAATGTGTAGTATAATTAAAGTTAAATCCAAAGACACCACAGAAAACGTGAATGACAATTTCACAAGGAAAACATTTTGCTTAGAATTTGATTATCCTTCCTGATACGCTGAAAATGCCTACTGAAAATATGCCAAATTTTCTGTGGGTGTGTTTCCATTGAAGTAATTGGGTGGAATATTTGGCCCAATATCTATTAATAGTATAACTGCTATTTATTATTTTTATTTCCTTTGCAATCTTTGTTATGATATTCTCTGCCCACTGTGCAGAACAGATTCCTGTAATTGGCACTAATGTTTTTTATAATTATGCCTTGCCATGCCTCTTCCTCGGAGCAAGAGGGATATGCTGCTGCTTCTGGGAGTTGCTTGAAATGAGAGCCGTCTGGAATCTGCATCCCCAAGCCCTCTCTCACATCACAGAAGCTTGCCCTAGCCTTAAGTCCCCTGCTGTACTCAAACTCCCTCCCAGAGTCTTCACCCCACACCTCATCTGCACCTCAACCCCTGCTCTGGCTTGCAGCCCCCTCCTGCACCTAATCTCTTCATTTCCAGCCCTACCCCAGAACCCATCCTCCAGCTGGAGCCCTTACTCCCTCCTACACTCCAACCCCTCGCCCCAGCCATGAGCCCCCTCCCATACTCAGAACCCCTTGATTCCACTCTGCAGTCCAGAGCCTCCTCTTTCACCCTAAACTCTTCATACCAGGCCCTACCCCAGAGTCTGTACTCTCAGCAAGAGCCCACACTTCAACCTGCTTCCCCACCCTCGTGAAAATGAGTGAGTAAACAAGGAGGGGCGAGAGCAAGTGACAGAGTGGATTGAGTTGGCAGTGGGGTGGTATAGCCTTGGAGAAGGGGCAGGGTAGGGTGTTTGCATAGTCAGCCTGTGGAACTCCTTGCCAGAGGAGGCTGTGAAGGCTAGAACTATAACAGAGTTTAAAGAGAAGCTAGATAAATTCATGGAGGTTAAGTTCATAAAAAGCTATTAGCCAGGGGGTAGGAATGGTGTCCCTGGCCTCTGTTTGTCAGAGGCTGGAGATGGATGGCACGAGACAAATCGCTTGATCATTGTCTTCGGTTCTTAAGTTTTCTGCAAATAGAAAGTTAGCAACTCTAAAGTACCAGAAAAAGAGGTTACGCAGCTTTAGTAGTTACTGATGGTCTTCGAGATGAGAGTCCCTAGGGGTACGGCTAGACTAAACGGTTGAACTGTTCCACGTCCAGGGAACACATTTGCTCTTCTACTTTTTTTGCAGAAGAGCAAACGCGCTCTTTCAGAAGCCTCTGTAATTCTCATTCCACAAGGAATAAGGGGGCTTCTGAAAGAGGTTTTTTTCCCGACATTTGGCCAAGTCTAGACATCCCAGTCTAGATGGGCCAAATGTTGGGAAAGACTCTTCCAACAAAAGAATCAGAAAAAGCAGTGTAGTCTAGCCGTACCCTGGAAGTGCTCCACAGCAGGTGTCGGTGCATCTCAGCGCCATAGACCGGATTCTTCACAGCAGGGCCTGGGGGGCGGGCCATGCATGTGCGGCAAGTAGGGTGTGTGAGCAACATACATTGCAAATTCACATGCGCAGCCACTCTTCCCTCAGTTCCTTCTCTCTCCGGAAACCGGCTCGTAGAAAAAGAGGTCTCCAAATAGAGGGGAGGACGGGAGGGTATTGTAGCACCCACAGGGACGCTCATCTCGAAGAACGTCAGTTATGGCTAAAGGTGAATAACCTCCTCTTCAAGAGAGAGACATTCCTGTGGGTGCTCCACAGCAAGTGACTGCAAAGCAATATGTCCTAAGGAGGCAGGAACTTTGGATCTGGCAGATAAGCTGTAGATAACATGGTCTTGACAACCCTCGTTGAGGAGACAGGTCCATGAGAAAGTACATGCTTCACAAATATTTGGTCAGAAGCTCATGTGGCTGCAGTGCATATGTCCTTGAGAGGGATCTTTCAGAGGTAAGCTACAGCTGTGTCCACAGCCCCGGCAGAATGGTCCCGAATGGCGGTAGCTGGCGCAAGCTGGCTGTAGCATCAGGCTATGCCGTTAAATATCCAGCGAGACAGTCTTTGGGAGGGTATCTGTTGTCCTTTTTGTGTTTATAGATGGATATAAAGAGTCCAGGAGAAGCTCTAAAAGGCCTCGTTCTGTGAATGTAAAATGAGAGAGCCCCGAGGACATCTAGAGCATGCATCCTTGCTTCAAAGGTATTGGTGTGAGGTTTGGGAAAAATACAGACAAGTGAATAGTATGGTTTATGTGGAATAAGAAGTACACTTTGGGGAGGAACTTGGGGTGGGCATGTAGCATGACTTTATCCTTTAAAAAGGTGTTGTATGGAGGATCCGCCATCAGGGTGGCCATTGCACCTGCCTGGCAGATGTAATTCCCCACTAAAAGTGCAGTTTTCATAGAGAGATGGAGAAGCGTGCAAGTGGCTATAGGTTCAAATGGAGGGTTGGTGAGAGCACTGAGAACTAAATGGAGGTTCCATAGCTCCCTTGGCAGAGTTACATCAGGATATAGTGACTGGAGGCCCTTCATAAAGCGATTTGTCATTGGATGGGCAAAGACTGTGTTATCTATTTTTGTATGGAATGTGGTTATAGCAGCTAGGTGCAGCTAATAGAGCTAACAGAGCTTACAGAAAGGTTGGACTTCTTTAAGTGCAGGAGGTAGACAAGGATGAAAGATAATGGGACAGTCTCAGGAAAGATGTTACGAGGGAGGGCCCAATGTGTAAAATGTGTCCATTTAGTGGAATATGTTTTACGCATTGAGGCTGCACAACTATGCAAAAATACTTTACATACTGTAACTCTATGCCTGAGAGCCATCCAGGTACCAAGCCTTTAGATGGAGACTAAGGAACCATGGGTGTTGGGTCTGTAGGCCTTGTTGATATAACAGTCTGGGGTTGCATGGCAAGGAAATTGGCAGAAACAGTGCCATTCTGCTGAGAAAGGGGAACCAGGGCTGTCTGGGCCAGCATGGAGCTATTACAATAACTCTGGCCTTGTCCTTCCTTATCTTGAGTATTGTGAGAAGGAAGGAAATGGGAGGGAAGGCGTAGAGGAGACAACGACTTCATTTGATGGTGAGAGTATACCTCAGGGAACCTTTGCCTATGCCTGCTCTAGAGCAGTATAGTGGGCACTTTTTGTTGGTACTTGTGGTGAAAAGGTCTATTAGAGGTGTGGGGGAGAGGACTCACCACCCTGCCTCAGTGACCCTCTGCCAGTCTTCATCTTGCCCCTGTTTTAGGGCAAACTGCAGTCTGTAAGGGCCGCTCATCACCGGCGAAGGGGTATGGACCTGCTACCCCAGTTTATCACAGCTGCGTCTCCACAGGCCTCCTAGCCCCAGGCTGCGCTCCAGGCCCTACAGACTGGGAGCTTGCTTGGCCAGACCTCTCCAGTCCCTGCCTTGCTGCCCCAGCACTCCTTGAGCTGCTGGGAGCCTCCTGCTTTCCCAGCTGCCAGCTCCTTACTGCTCTCCCCGAGCGGGAAACTACTCTCCTTTATATAGCCCTCAGCTGGGCCCTCCTTAGCCAGAACTGCCTCAGCTGGGTCTTTGCTTCCAGCCCCGACTCCGGGCCTGGGTTTTGCCCCATGCGCTCTGTCACAACGTGGTATCCCCAATATGTGAAGATTGAGTCTAGTATCCCCTGGTCTATCTGCCACTTGTTCTGTTGAGGTAGTGATCTCAATCCATTGGCCGTGGTGTTCAATGCACCCAGTAGATAACATGCACTGATAGCGATGCCATGGGAGACACACCAATTCCACAGGGTAATAGCTTCTGTACAGAGGGCATCAGTGTGGGTGCCCCCTTGTCTGTTCATGTAAAAAATGCTGGTGACATCGTCAGTGTATATCTTGATGTGCTTGTGGGCTATCAATGGAAGGAAATGTTGGCAAGCTAGTCTTACAGGATATGTCTACACTACAGAGTTAATTCGAAATAACAGACGTTATTTTGAATTAACTGTAATAGCTGTCTACACATACAAATTGCTATTTCGAAATAAATTCAAAATAGCGGAGCCCTTATTTTGAATTAGGTAAGCCTCATTCTACGAGGAATAACACCTAATTCAAATAGCTAATTCGAAATAAGTGCTGTGTAGACACTTATTTCAAATTAGGGGGCCTCCAGCCCCTCCCAGTTTCCTCTTGTGGCCACTCTAGTCCAAACCAGGAAAACTCCTCTCCTCTCCCCCAGCCCCGGGGCCCTAAAAGGGGCAAACTCTGGCCACTGGGCATGTGCAAGAGCCAGGCCTGCCAGTAGCTGCAGACCCAGAGCCACACAGGAGGGCAGCTAGTGGCATCCAGCTCTCCCCCGCTCAGTCCCCCAGCAACCAGGAACCAGCCAGCGGCCATAGACGGTGCGCGTCCTCATGGACTAGTGCGGAGATCATGCACCTCATTGAGGTTTGGGGGGAGGCCCCCAACATCCATTATTTCTGCACTAGGCGGAGGAATGCAGCTGTCTACATCTGCATAGTGGCCACCATGGCCAGGAAAGGCCACAGGCGCACCCAGGAGCAGGTGCACTTGAAGGTGAAGGAGCTGTAGCA